GTGGACAAGTGAGATGGATGCGACAGAGAACTGTTTGGCCGCCGATGGTTTCCCTTCCTCCTTTCATCTCCTCTTGTCCTCGGACATGGAAAGTGTACCTTCATCCCTGACTGCTTCTCTGCCCTCCGTAGCTGATCAGGAGAGCGGGAGGGATGTCAAGAGCCTCGATGAGACTGAGGCAAATCAGGACCAAGGGCTAGGGGAGGGAGGTGCCGCCAGGTCCGAAGGTTTGACAGTTTAATAGTTTGAAGATGCTGGTATCTTCTGGCTCCTATTGGACTTCTTAGCTTTCTTTTCGCTTCTTTGGCCTTCAGTGTGCCTCTGTTTTTAATTCTTTTCTGTTAAATGTTTTCTTCATCTCCCAGATCCCAGTCTGAATTACAGTATAGAGCAGAAGAACCCAGATTCTCGGTGCTGTCTCCCCCTCTTGTTCATCGTTGCCCACTATCAAGGAAACTGGTGTAATAGAGGTCATATGGGCAATCTCGGCTTGATGATTGCAACGTGGAACTGCGGCAGATTGCACCAGACCGTCAGACATGAAGACCTCTTGGAGGCTTTATGGAGCTTTCCAGCTGATTTGATTATCATTCAGGAGTCTCGCCTTTTGATGGAATGCCATCAAGCATCGACTCAGTGCCTCTGGCCCTTTGGTCCATCCTATTGGAGTTATGGTCAGGGGGGCCTTAGAATCTTGACCCAGAATCACCCTGGCCTCCGCTTTCATCACTTTATCATGGAGACGCCAGGTCAATTGGCCATCTTGGACTTCACGTCCATGGGACCACATCAGGCAGACGCACCTGGTATACCTCAAGATCCTATGGATGCTCCCCACGATAAGTGGGATGGTCATGGTTTTCACCTGTGCACACTGTATGCACCGGTTGCATCAGCTCAAGCCAGGCATAACTTATGGGTGAGACTGCACTCAGTGTGCGCAACATGGCATAAGGTGCTTGTGGCAGAAGATTTTAACAACAGGGCGACTCTTCAAGATCATGTCCCATTGCATTTTGCTCAGTGCTTTGAGGGGCCTGATGTGGAGGGGGATTCGGAGCCAACCCCACTTCCCTGCCACTCCCCAGCCTCTACCTGTCTGCCTCCTCCCGCTGGCCCCCGTGGCCCACGTCTCCATGTCCTCTATGCTGATCCGGTCCCTTTCCAATCCGCATCAGTTCCGTTTGTGGTCCACCTCTTTCTACAGAAGAACACTACACGGAGAGCACTCACCCTGTGCACGGCCTTTGGGATGCTGCTCTTATGGTGCCCACCATTTAGAATTCCTTCCTCGGGCAGCCGGGATGCTCTCTTTGGGAACCTCAGTCGAAATGGCTGACCCTGAAGGTGACAGCGGGCCAAGCTCATTTAATACCTCTGAGGGCTCTGGACAACTTCTTTGTACTAGTTTCAAAGCTCATACTGTGAGTCATCTGGACCAAGTCCAGACGCCCAATTGTCTGGTCATTTCCTGCTGTGTTTATCATTCTGTGGTTGAACCATGTAATGATCCAGGTGGCCCTGAAGTTTCACAGTTGCCTAGTCCCTCAGTGCCCACTATGGTGTCTGACAGTTGCTACGCCGGATGGCGATGCGGAGCTCCAGAATGCCCTCCGTACATTATTGGAAGACCAACTTTCCTTGCAGGACGTTTATGGGCCTTTGTGCCTAGATGTATGGTGAGAGCATGTGAAATGGGATGTTTGTGTTTTTTGCCAAGCTTATGAGTGCCGCCGCTCTCACCAGGGCCTCCGTCATTACCAAGCTGCAGTCCACACATTTCTCACCTGTCATGCCTGTGTTTGAGAGGACAGAGTAATTAACGGCAGTCACCTCGAGTGGGCCTGTGAAATGATTGCCCGATTTCATGCTATCAAAGGAAGTGTCATTTCTATCATCGCTATGGGAGTACAAAAGGAGGGGCAACGGAGGCTGGTTAATGGGTAGGTCACGAGTCCTCAGGTGCAGGAAGTTTAGCAGGAGGCGGTCCCTACCCCCTGCAAGTGGGCCTTTATAGAAGTGCTGAGGGATGAGCCCTCCTTCCTGTTACGGACTGCCGCATGGGGCATGTTGGCCATAATGGACCACTTCTATGGGATGCTTTTTGCTAGGAGGGCAGACATCAAGACCAAGGCCATCAATCAGTACTTCTCCCATCTCCCCCCACCGAGACATGCTTGGCTTGGTGCAACCGGGATGATAGAGGAGACGGTTTAGTGGCCTTGAACAGTCCCTTTACAGCGCACAATGTCCGGGAAGCACTGGGGAGTAGCTGCAGGCATTCAGCGCCAGGTCCGGATGGCCTGAGTTGGGCCTTCTATAGAGCCTACGCGGACCTGCTCGCCACTCCGCTCATGATGTTATTTCAAACTTGTGCCAATAGCGCTCACAAGGGTAGGGCGCTCTCGCCTGAAAGCCTTTATTATGGCTTGTTGTTTTTTGGTAAACTGGGGAATCTTGATCATACAGTACCATCCAGCTGGCAACCCATTGTGTTGACAAACATGGATTATAGAGCCTTTGCCAGGGTCCTTACCGACCATCTCGATGAAACGATTGAACCCAAGGTGGTGCCTAGGCAGACGAGTGCCCTGCGCAGGTGGAGTCTTGCAGCTTCTTTATGTCTCTTGCAAGAGGTACTTTGGTGGGCAGGCCAAGGAGACTGATGCAGTTTGTTGGTACAACTGGAGCACTCACGCATTTGACCGGTTCACCATTGCTTTTTGTGGAAGGCCATGAATGGCACGGAATCCCTTGTGGTTTCATCTGTCTGACATAGCCCCTGCACCTCAGGCGAGCGTCACTTCCCAAATCAACAACTCTCAGGGACACCCATTCCACTATATTCAGGGGTTCGACAAGGCTGTCCCGTGAGCCCCCCACTCTATATTTTATCTCTGGACGTAGTCCTATGGGAGATTGAGTGAGACAGCAGTCTCGTGGACTTCCTGTGCCCATTTGCGCTGCAAGAAGAGCATTCTGCAACATGCACGGTCAAATTCCTCATCCATATGGATGATATCCTTACTTGTGGCTTCATCCAGGGAGGCATACCAAGTGTGGTGGATGTTCCAAGCATTATGAGAAAGTCTCAGGGGCCCAGATCAATGAGAGGAAAAGCTGGGTGGTGGCCCTTACCCAGGGCGAGGATGGGAATTGTGACTTGCAACCTTGCCCAGTAGTGGGATGGTGGGGGAAAGAGGGAACGGAAAGGGAAATTCCACAGACCTGCCCCTTCCTGGCCCCTCTCGCTTAAGAAGCAGCAGGTACTTCGCCAGAGAACTCCTTCCCCAGGGGATGATCTGCACCACGGGCATTCAGTTCAGTCTCCAGCAGGCTACATGGAAGGACAACTGGAACGATGCACTGAGTGTTGGGAGGTGAAATGGGGGAAGTGGAAGAGGTGGCACTTCACCCTCTATCAGAGGGCCATCTTCCTGAAAACTTACCTTCTTCCCCAGGCGTCGTGTCAGCTAGCAAGTTTACCCCCCACCAGAAGGGTTCCTCCGGAGAGTCACCCAGGGATGGTTCCACTTTTTGTGGGGCACAGTGTTCTTCCCTTTGGCGAGAGCTGTCGCCTACCAATGGATTTGTGAAGGGGGCCTAGCTCTCCCTGTGTTGGACCTGATGCTTTCGGCCATCTTCCTCACATATAATTTTGGAGGAGTGTCCCTCTTGCTCCCCCCTCCTGGCCTGGGCAATCCCCTTGGGGCTCCAAACACCATTGAACAGGGTCCCTGGGCCCCCCCAAGGAAATCAACTGCAGGGGTCAAGAGTTCCAATCCCCCATATTGGGCACACCTTTCTCTTGATCATTGGTGAGGGAGCGGTCTGAGGAGCATTGGTGGCCTGACAGGACATGTACATTCCACTTCACGGACCGGGATCATCGCTGCTTGCCATCTTTTCTTCAGGAGCTACTGCCATCTTGCAACACCACCACATGCCCGCTAACCCTTCTCCCCTTCCCATAGAGAGAAGGGAGGGACCGAAGGGAATCGGGATGGAACAGTCATGCGCAACAGCTACACATTGCCGTACAACGCAGCTTGAGGTCTACGAGGAGGCAGTAGAATGCGCAATAGTGCGGCCTTGGCAGGAGGCTCGCTGCCGCTGGATAGCAGAGGGGTGCCTTCCGGGCTATTTAGGGAGAACAGGCACCTCACTGGAAACTTTTTCGGACAAATAGCTCCCTTATTTGCACTGGAAGGCCCAGTGGAGGTTTTATTACCTCATTCCTCAGCAGCCAACAGCTCAGCCTTAGATCCGTGGGGAAGAGCGTCTCTGTCCAAGGGAGGCATGCATAAGGGAGGTGACCCAGGAGGGGGCCTCGAGTGATGATATGGTCTTCCATTTTGTTCAGGACTGTCCGATTGCCCAATTGCTCGAATTCCCAAATATTTTTATTTGGGGATGGAGTTTTATGAGGGTCAACCTCCTGCATGTTTTCATTGTGGGGCCTACAACCACCAGAGGCATACATGCATGATCACCCTGTGTGCCCACTGTGGTGGACGTGGGCATTTCACACAGGATTGCCATGAAGGGATTCACTGTAATCTCTGTGGTGGCATTGGCCATACTTATCAGGGTTGTCCATGTGTTTTTAGAAATCAAGATCACTGGGCAAGTGGTCCAGATCAGTCCCAGGAAGTGGAGGAAGCATGGTTAGTCATGATGTGTTCCCAAGTCAGGAGGGATGAGGGTAGAACAGCAGAAACCATTGAACCTCCCCCCCAATTTGGAGAGAAACAAAGGGTGGCAAGTGCAGGGGAGTAGGAAGTCAAAGAAGGCAGGCCTGTAAGATAGAGGGTCTGGGGCCTTGGGAGGTGGAAACAGGACAGATGGAGAGAGACCACAGGGAAGTAGCAAGCAGTGGCAAAGGACATGGGTAGGGAGAGAGTTGGCACCTGAAGGGGAATTGACGAAGATGGACAATGAAGTAGGGAGGATCAGGTGGGCCACCAGGGGACGGAGGAAGTCGACCAGAAGATACCGCAGGAGGCTCGTGGACGACAGGAGGTGTCAGAGCAAGTGAGGGTGGCTTTGCTTGATCCCTTTGAGGTTCTCACTTTGGTGAGTGCTGATGTGCAGGATTACACAGACCAGGTCATTTGGTCGCAGATTGAAAACAGATGCCCATCATCTCCATGATGAACCAGGAAGCAGAAGGAAGCCAGTGAAGAAGGCAGTCCGGACAGAATCAGACATCAGGAAGCTCTGGATAGGGTGTGTTTTCAGGAACAGGACTGCTCCCAGAGGAGCCGGTCAGGAAGGCCTTTCCCCTTAAGTCAGCTGATTCAGAAGGGAATAAGGAAGGAGAGACTGGGTGCACTGCGACAGGTTGACCCTCGGTAGGCCCAGTCCTCTCAATTCAGTCTTCCCTAGATGAATCTGGGTTAGTGGGAGTGAGCAAGAGAGGAGGGATGTAATGCAACTAGGACAGAAAAGGTTGCGCTGCACCTCAGGGGACACTGAGCAGTCCCCACGAGGAGGCAGAGCAGAGCAGGAGCTCTTAGGGATAGCAAGATCAGAATGGGGATCTAAAATTGTCTCTCGGTGCTCTCAGATACAGCTCTGAATCTAGGAAGGGATGAGCCCACTGTCTCTCCAGACAACCCCTTAGCGGCAAGGCCAGTGCGGTATGGCGGTTCCAGAGTACAGGCAGAGACTAGGCTACGGACAGTCGTTACCCGGAACGTGGCCAGCTTACGGGGCTCGCAACCCTGGGGAGCCATCCTGATGGCTGACCCTCTGGGGGTCATTCTCTGGCCATTTCAGGTCAGCGGGCATGGGGCCAGGGTGCTTCCTGCTGGTCTTACAGCCACCAAAGGAGCAGCGGTCTCAGGATTTCAGTCTGCTACCATTTAGGGTTGGTGTTTCAGGATTATCTGGAGGCGGTGCCAGCCAGCAGGCACAACTCGACCTCCTCGGCAAAAGAAGTAGGCCTCAGGGGGGGCAGGAAGAGCCAGGAGGGTCTCCGGCGCCACAAAGCTTGTGGCCAGCTCCGGGGGCACACAGCAACGTGGCGGCGAGCGGCGGCGGCTGAGGATTTCAACGGATGGGTTCTTCCATTGGGCGGGGAGGCTCCGCTACTGCCCAGTGCGACTCCCCTCGCTCGGCCGTGGGTCGGAGACGGGGAAGGGCAGCCTGCGGGACGGAAGGTGCGCTGGCGGGCAGCGGTTGCCCCAGCCCCCCCCCCCCGGGAAACCGGGGGGAGAGCGGGCCCCGGCGGGGGGGGGGGGGCGCGG